AGGGTGGTGGGAAGCATTAAAAGAATCTGACCGCGGAGCCGCGCCAGGAACAGTCGGAATAGGAGAAGGCATATCCCACTCGACAGCGAATAAGATCTGCCCGGGGAAGGATTTTTGGTTTTCTGAGTAATGAGCAAAGGGGTGGGGCGACTTTCTTTTTTTTTAGCATCATTGGTCTTTCTCCCCGCTCATAGCTAGTTGTCCCGTTGTTTTGATATCGCCCTCCGCCTGTGGGTGGTCGGACTCATTTCGATGCGCCTGGCCATACTCTACCCAAAGGTTTGACCAAGGCGGCAGCGGGGAGGCAGCGAGCAGACGGGCGAACTTGAGTGTCGTACAGGTTAGAGAGGGAGAGAGAGAGAGAGCAAGGGAACGCTTACCTGGGCGGAGAGGAAAAAGCGGGACAGGGAAGCCGTCATCCACCGAATCCGGCACACCGAGATCAGGGGCTGCTCCGTTCAGGGTGCCTGTGCTGCTTGTGAGCGCTAGCAAAGGGAAGCCTGGGTGACTCCCGGGCTCAGCGGGTGACGGGAGCCAACAGTCTGCAGAGTAAGGGACCTAACTATTACTTGAGAGCGGCGGTTACAGCAGCACAGGGCAGCGAAGGGGACCAACGGGGGGGGGGCATACAATACTCAAGCCCATTGGGCGAGGGTGCAGCGGTCGATTAGGAGGGGCGGAGAAGCTGCGGCTTACCTGCAGGAGAGACGAATGTGGCGGCTGACCGCAACTGTTTCCATCCGCGTGTGTGAGTTGTTGGGGCGCGTCGCAAACGGGTACCGGGCCGTAACTACTGCTGCTACGGCTCGACACGAACTGCTGCTGTTTGCCGCTGGTTGCTGCATACCGTGCATCAGCTGCTGAAGTATTGTTGACTGGGCGTGGACGACTGTTGTTGACTGACGTACATTGCTGCATACAGTTGCGGGCTGATACGGGCCGTCGTGCAACAGGGATTCGTGCTGAAGGGAGGGGCTGAGTCTTAGGGGGGGGGTGATTAGACCAGGCGAGCAAGGGGTTAGCGCAGCTGTTGAGGGGCCATTAGAAGTTTGACTTCAGCGGGTTGACCCAGAAAAGTCGATCAAGCTGTTACTTTTTGGCTGCCATTGTGGGGCCCTCCGGCGATTAAAGGCATCAAGGTCGTCTCCCGCGAGTCTGAGTGCACCTCTCTTGTATCTGACAGTCTCAAACTATCTGCTTCTGCCCTTCTTACCCTAAGTCTGGTCTATTGGCTCTGAGAGGAAGGCGCCAGGCGGGATTGCAACCCGTAGGTCCGCATCAAGACTCTGTGGGGAGTGATCCCACCGATTGCGGGAACTCTGTCGGAGCCTAGGCGAGGCTCTAGAGGCAGGGAACTGAAAGGTGACATTTGGCTTCCCCCCCTTATGTACCCTGTTATAGCCCATAGTTGTACTCCTCTCTATGTGTTGACTGAGTATACTGTGTGCACCCCTACGTTGACTTTCAGTTGACTTTCACGAACTGAATCAGACTAAATAAAGGAATGTGTGTGCAATCGCAGTTTCAGCTTGTTGATTGYCTGAACGCAGATTGTGGACACAAAGGGGGGTGCATCTGGGGAGAAGGTGGGTGGAAGGTGGTCTTGCGTGAGCATGAATGGGYCCTGTGGGGTCAGACCAGTTCCATAAGATTGGACGGTCTGACCGCTTTGTTCATTTTTGAATTGCATGAAGGGTCAGACCAGCTCCATAAGATTGGACGGCCTGACCGCTGTATTCATTTTTGAATTGCCTGGAGAGTCAAACAAGTTYCATAAGATTGRACGGTCTGACTGCTMTGAATTGCRGGGTTTGAWTGTGGTTGACTTTTCAGGGGCCAAACCTGTACCATAAGATTGAAGGGTTTGTTGCCATGTTTGATTGGGGTTTGTTTTGTTTCTTTTAATCGAAGGGGATCTGAGCAAGTCCATAAGATTGGACGGCTCAGCCCCCCCCCCTTTGTTTTATTCTGAGGGGATAATCCTTGCTGAGGGCAAGGCATGTCCATAAGATTGGACGGTCTTGGACTCATGCTATACACAGTTGGGTTAGAGAGAAATGAACTTGGCAGAGGACCAGACCAGTTTCATAAGATTGGACGGTCTAGCCCAATGCCTCGCACATGCTGGAACCCAAAGGGTTAGAAATTGGCTATATTTTATACTATCTTATTTATGAACGAGCTAGTCACGCATGGGTTCCATAAGATTGGACGGCCTGGCTATAACTTATCATAAAATGAAGACAGTATAATTAAGAGTATACTTGAAGGTAACCTTGGGCAGGCTGAGCCTTGTTCTAAGATGAACGGCTCAGTCTTATGCCCAGTTGTTGAACACCAAGCTCAGATAAGTATATATAATTTGGATATTAAACAGTTCTGGGCGACTAAGCCTTGTTCTAAGATGAACGGCCTAGTCATACGCCCAAAAGGAGGAGAGAAGTAGTTGTGCAACATGTTCATGTATACTCATTGGCTGAGTCAGGCAAGTTCCATAAGATTGGACGGCCTCACTTTATGCCCTATGTAAGTTGGGTATAAGGGAATAAAGCATCGAGAGATTACAAACTATTGTTTACAAAGTTTGACTTCGGGAGGCGATAGTACTTACCTTTGTGGGTTGGCTTGCATTAGACTGAGTGAGGCTACTACTTGGGTTGAGTGTCAGATTGACAGGTAGTTGCTTTAGAGGCTCGCCTCGTGCTAGAGCGATAGGAGTTAGGTCAATTCCTGCATTTTCAAAGCTAAGTTTTTCACTTGGATCAATTTGCATTTTTCGTGGAATCTTTTGTTATACTTGGCTTTGTATAAATTTTGGTAAGCTACTTTTCATACGGGAAGCGCTGCCGAAATTTCTACAAATCCAAGGAGTTGGCCAAATTTTGACTTGTCAAAGTTCAACCTGTCTAAAGTTCATGTATGGCTTAGCAAAAATTTGCAAAGTCTCCTTTTCTAGAGGGAGTGCTGCCCAAATTTTTGCTAATTCGGGAAGTTAGACAAAATTGGACTTTGGAAAGTCAAAGACTATTTCTGGGTTTATGTTTGGGCTGATATAAATTCTGAAAAGACACTTTTCCTACGAGAAGCGCTGCTGAAATTTTTTGAATTTAGAGGAGTTAGATTATATTCAGGCAGGTGGCGAAACTGGCGATCCACCCTGTATGGGGGAGATTCTGCCAAGGTCTACCCTTGCTTTGGTCACTGCTAAGGGTAAACTTAAGCTTAGTTGATTGGGTAGATTTTGGAGTGAGGTCGTGATTACCCTCTCATGACTTATAAATTTAGCTTGGGGATTGGCCTGTCATGTGTTACAGGTCTTCTGGGTCGATTGATTCAGGACTTGGATTAGATTCAGCTTGATCCTACCAGGATCACCTTCTGTTATCACTGATAACAGGTCGGTTGCCGATTCGTCGGCTCACGACTCAATTCGTACTCGCTCCCCATACTCAACCTAAAAGGCTTTAGCCCTGGTGATCTTTTTGTTTGTTAAGGGTATCACCCGGACTTTTATTGAATGACCATTTAACAAAGGTACTAAGTATTTAACTGAGGGTGGTCGGCTGGAGGTTAGAGTTTGCATGGCTAAAGCGAGGGGTATGAGCATAGGAACCGGTTGGAGTTGACTCCTCGTAGTGTGTGGATTCTTGTCTGACTTTTGATGTGATTGCAGGTATATTCAAAGACTTGGGGGTTTGGTTGGGCGGCCCTGCGGCCGCATATATATGTATGGCTAGGAGGAGACCCACTATGACTGTAAGAAGTGATTGTCACATAATTATTCCCCTTGTGCATATATATATATATATATGGGTGTCAGTGCTTATGTACCTACGTGTGGGAGTAGCGTGGTCTGAAGCGCCAGCGTACTAAGGGTCAGTCGAAGGTTGGGTGAAGGGAAGGGATAACCCCTCGCCAATTCCGGTTTATTTTCCTTGTTGCGATTTATCTTGGTGGAATGATAAAGTTCCGGGCGGAAGGGTCAGCGTGTCGCTGGTGATGCGCTAGACAACTACCACCGCTTCAAACTCCTTCCTACTCTAGGGGCCGTCCTGCCCCACACCCGTTGGGACACCTCAGGCTGCAGAAGACGGAAAGRCCCTCAGGCCGGTTTGGCGCGCGCTATAGGGTTACCCCCATTGGCTCGCGCTTCAGCCAACGCCTGAGCGTCGAAGGGGGACCCCTTGGCTCAGAGTAAGCCATTTGGGTGTGGGCA